GAACCAGAGACCAGAGACGGAGCTGCAGCTGGTGAACCAGAGACCAGAGACGGAGCTGCAGCTGGAGAACCAGGAACCAGAGACAGAGCTGCAGTTGAAGAACCAGAGACCAGAGACGGAGCTGCAGCTGGAGAACCAAGAACCAGAGACAGAGCTGCAGCTGGAGAACCAGAGACCAGAGACGGAGCTGTAGCTGGAGAACCAGAGACCAGAGACGGAGCTGCAGCTGGAGAACCAGGAACCAGGGACAGAGCTGCAGCTGGAGAACCAGAGACCAGAGACGGAGCTGCAGCTGGTGAACCAGAGACCAGAGACAGAGCTGCAGCTGGAGAACCAGGAACCAGAGACGGAGCTGCAGCTGGAGAACCAGGAACCAGAGACGGAGCTGCAGCTGGAGAACCAGAGACCAGAAACGGAGCTGCAGCTGGAGAACCAGGAACCAGAGACAGAGCTGCAGCTGGAGAACCAAAGACCAGAGACGGAGCTGCAGCAGCAGGTGGTGGAGGAGCCATGAACCCCACCCTTCGCGAAGCTCTCCCCTTCTTGCGCTGGGTTCGGGGGGGGACCAGCAGTTTGCCCCCCTCTCTCCGATGATTGCTTGGCCCCACCAGGTGGGGAGCGAGGAGGAGGTGGACAGCGGGATGCAGCGGCGCGGTGAGGTGAAGAGGAACGGAGAGGCTATGAGGACCCAGGTTTAATGGCCAGGCGGGTCCCCCAAAATGGATTCCTCCTCTCCTCCCTTTCTCTGTCTTTCTGGGCAGTTTTTTCTGCCTCACGGCAAAAATACTCAAACAGAGAAATCATCCCTCTGCTGGGTTCAGGTCCGGTGATTCTGTCACGATCCTCGAGGTTGGAACCCAATTGCAGAGAGATGAGTGAGGCAGGAGTTCAAAAACCAAAACAATTTATTTCTTTTAACAACAAAACAAAAGGCTGTCGGTGCAGCAAAACTTACTTTTGGCAGATTGGATCAGAAATAATGCAGAGCAGATCATCAGGGGGGCAGAAACCAGACAAGGCAGAAGAGGATTGTGATGTCTGTGAACATAGAACAATCACCGGACAAGGAGTGAAGGAAAGAAAGGCTTTTTATGTGACAGAGGGAGAGTTAGTAATGAGAGCACCTGGGCAAGTGGCTGATGAGGGACAGGTGTGAATGATAAAGACTGAGTGGAGAAGCAGACTGAGGAATGAGAGGAACATAACAGAAACAGATAAACAGAAAATCACACACAAAGCAGAACAATAAAAAATATAAAAAGCAGACAGAGACAGAAACTTGAAATAGAAGGAAATGATTAAGACTGTGGGATGATAGTTTGAAGATATAAATGTTGGTTTCTGGTTGCAGCTTGAAGGAGGTGGCAGAGGCTTGGCAGATGGGGGGGCAGCGGGGGCCGCTGACCGTGACACTGAGCGAACCTGCCCCTCCTCGAAGATAAGGCCCAGAAAGGTTATAGATGATATGTGGAACTCACATTTTTCTGCCTTCACAAACAGCTTGTTCTCCAGGAGTCTCTGCAGAACTGCCTTAACGTGTCCTGTGTGTTGAAAGGAGTCCTTGGAGAAAATCAAGATGTCATCCAAATAGACAAAAACGAACACGTTAAAAAAATTCCTTAACACATTATTGATAAGATTTTGAAAGACGGCAGGTGCATTGGTGAGTCCAAAGGGCATTACGAGATATTCAAAATGGCCTCATGGAGTCTTAAAAGCAGTTTTCCATTCATCCCCCTTCCGAATTCGTACCAAGTGGTAAGATTACATAGGTCCAATTTTGTAAATATTTTAGCATCCTGTAGTTGGTTGCAAACAGAGTCCATCAGGGGAAGGGGATACTTATTTTTTAACGGTGATCTGGTTAAGCCCTCTGAAGTCTATGCAGGGTCTTAGTGTCGTGTCCTTCTTAGAGACAAAGAAGAAACCAGCACCGAGGGGGGATGTAGAGGGACAAATAATACCAGCCCTTAGGGACTTGTCAACATATTTCCTCATAGTCTCTCTTTCCGGGCCCGACAGGTTGTATAGTCTACTGGAGGGCAGGGGAGTACCAGGAAGAAGATCTATGAGGCAATTGTATGGTCTATGGGGTGATAAGGATAAGCCCTCCTGTTTGCTAAAAACTGGGGCTAGAGAATGGTACTCAGGAGGAACCTTAGAGAGGTCAATCTCATCAGAGGTTGGGAGCGGAAAGGACGAAGGAGAAATAGCAGAATGTAAACATTCACTAGAACAGCCCTCCCCCCACCTTTTGATTTGCTTACTCCTCCAGTTGATAAGAGGGCTGTGTTTATTAAGCCATGGGTAACCCAGAATGAGTTGGGGTCTAGTGGATTCAAAAACAAAAAATTCCGTAAGTTCATGGTGATTACCTGAGAGGACAAGTCCTGAGGGAGATGGAGGAAATGGTCTGACCGGTGAGTGCAGCCACATTGATATTCTGATTTAGAGGAACAGTTGGAATGTTAAGTTTCTTTACAAGGTTTGCACTGATGAGATTCTGTTCGGCCCCTGAATCTATCAGGGCCTGAGTAGAAACATTTATATTTGCAACGCACAGGATAGCAGGTAAATAAAAATTGTGATCAGGAGAAAAAGCAATGTTACCCACCAGTATCTCCTGAACTACTGGGGATGCTTCCCTTTTAACAGGAGCGGGCAATCTCTCACGTAATGGCCAGTTTTGCCACAGTACACACACTCATTGGCCACAAATCTATGTTGTTTCTCCTCTGGAGATAATTTTGTCCAGTCCCACCTGCATAGGTTCTGGTTCGGAGGATGTTGTGGGTGGAGCTGAAAATTTACTTCCGGTTTCAAGGAAGCTATGAAACTTATAGCTCTTTTCCCTATTACGTTCTCTGATCCTGTTGTCAATGCGGATCGCGAGACTAATAAGCTCATCTAAGTCTCGGGGGGACTCACAAGTTAAAATTTGGTCTTTGATGTTGTCATTTAGGGCATTTAGAAAGGCGCCCCTTAGCGCGACTTTATCCCATCCGGACTCTTCCGCAATAGTGCAGAAGCGGATGGAAAACTCAGAGACAGATCTTGACCCCTGTCGAATCGTGAATAGTCTTTGTTCCCCTTCCTCTTGGAGCAACGGGTGATCAAAGGCTAATCGCAACTCTAATGAAAACAGCGTACGGCAGGGAAGCAATGGGGCGGGAGCGAAGTGCGCGTGTGCCCATCTTAGAGCCTCACCTTTGAGGGCACTTACAAAATACGTGATCCGGGACGAATCGGAAGCGTACCTGGTAGGAGCCTGGCTGAACGCAAGATCACACTGCAGGAGGAAGCCTCCAAACATCTTGGAGTCACCTTCAAAGAATTCGGATGGCCGCACGTCTGGTTCTCGGGTGCAGGGGGTCATAGGCACAGAGAGGGGTTCAGGTTGGCTGACAGGGGATGGGCCCCTTGCAGCTCCTGCCAGGGTTGAAAGCTGTTGCCCGATGTTGTGGATCATGTTGCCGAGCTCCTGCTGCTGTGCGAGGATCTGTTGGAGGGTATGATCATGATTATCAATACGGGTACTTTGTGATCTTAAGGCCTGAGTTATCGGACTCTCTTCAGTCATGCCTTGAGGGTCTGTGTGGCTTGAGCATTCTAACATGATTCTGAGTACTAATGACCCCAAAATGGCAGACTGAACAGACTCGAGACTCAGGTAAAACAAAAAGTGATATTTATTTACAATGCAGGAAAAAACTGGTGGCTGGGCTGCGGAGGGAAGCAGGAGATTGGATGAGTAATTGATTCCAAAGAGATGGTCCAGTGAACAATTATTCTGTTTAGGAAATCCTTCCTTACGGTTGGTTCAGTTGCAGATGGTGTCGGATGGAGGAGTCCAATGTTGGGCCTTGAGTGGGTAATGCCGGTGTGCAGGTTCGGAGGACCAGAGCAGCCAAGGAGCCAGGAGGGAGCCGAGGAAACAGGACGAGGCAGAACTGGCAGACCGACAGAAAATCACAAGGTTAGTCAGGATTCACCAAAGTACACGTGAAGGCTTTCGCTGATTTACCAAAGGCAATCAATGCTCAAGCGTTGGCTGAACGTCTGGCACGGGTTTAAATAGTGCAGCAGGTGCTGGTCTGGAATCAGGTGCAGGTGTGATCCATTAGGTGCTTGTTGACTGCGTAGGAAGGAGGTAGAGGTAGAAAGAACTAGGAATCCCACAAAAGGTAGAATTAATGAAAATTAAGTGTAGAACCACCCGACTGAGGAACAGCTTCTACCCTAAAGCTGTTAAGACTCACGAATCTCCAACCAGAATAATCACTGTGAAAAAAATCACTGTAATGCCGCTTGATTGTTGATATGTGCTGGTGACTATCCATGCTGCTGATCTCATGCTTCTGATTTATTTCATGCTGCTGTGTTCATTCGTACTCATCTGCTCACACATACTCATGAATGTGCTGCTGTTGTTCGGCATATTGTTTTTGTACTACTGGTTCTTAGTGTATTCTTATTTTGGAGTATTTCTTAGTTCATATCTTAGATCTTATCACTGTTTTTCTTTACAATATATACTTTTGTTGGATGTAATTTGGACCCTGTGTACACAATTTTGTTCCACCATATGTACCACAAATGATGTGAATGACAATAAACAAACCTTGACCCTTGAGTTAAGTGTGATTAGATGTTTTTTTTTGTTTTGTTTTTTCTGGTTCATGTGCATTATGGTTGTTTTACTCAGACATTTGTCCTGGTATATTTTTACATGCTTCTTTCCCACCAGGTGAAAAAGAGAATAAAAAAAGATAACTTTAGAACTTGTCCAGTCACAAAGTATTACTTTATTATCATATTTAAAATATTCTGCTCCACACAAAGGGCTGTCGTAGCTCGGTGGTCTGTGGTTGTGTCAAGAAGGACCTCCGGTATTAAAACAGTTGCCAAGTCTTCGTGCTAGTTAGTTCACTGTTATGAACCCTGAGGAAGGGAGCAGCAGAATGAAGGAAAAAAAAAAGAGTTCCACACTGATTAAAAACAAACTGAAGAGCGAAATTATATTGTTTCTAAGATTTATCTGTATTTCACTTCCTCCATAATCATAGTTTGTTCAAGATTCTACAGGAAAATGTTAACATTATTTTAAAAAAATACAGAACAACTTTTTTTGAGTTATTTAAAATTAACCTATTAATTACACTTAAAGACTATTTCACTATTATCCTGTCCTCTCAACCAGCCGGCCAAAGCAGATGGCCGCCTGGTTCTGCTGGAGGTTTCTTCCTGTTAAAGGGAGTTTTTCTTTCCACTGTCTCCACTGTGCTTGCTCAGGATGGGAGACTGCAACAAAGCCAAGATTCATCTTGTCTGCTGGATTCCTTAGATAGAGAACTTTACTAATTGGCTTTTATGTGAATGTTTCTGTAAAGTGCCCTGAGACAACTTTGTTGTGATTTGGCGCTTTATAAATAAACTGAATCGAATTGAATTGAATTATTAATTCAATTAATTCAACTCAAAAATACTTTATTAATCCCAAAGGGAAATTATTTGTTTTAGTAACTCATTATCCTCATTTCGGCAGCACGGTGGCACAACTGGTAGAGCTGCTGCCTCTCAGCGAGCAGGTCCTTGGTTCAAACCCCGGTCCAGGGGCCTTTCTGGGTGGAGTTTGCATGTTCTCTCCGTGCATGCGTGGGTTTTCTCCGGGTACTCCGGTTTCCTCCCACAGACCAAAAACATGCATGTTAGACTGATTGGTAACTCTAAATTGTCCCTAGGTGTGAGTGAGAGAGTGAATGGTTGTTTGTCTCGTTTGTCTCTATGTGTCCCTGTGATGGACTTGCGACCCGTCCAGGGTGTACCTCGCCCCTCGCACAGTGATTGCTGGACATGGGCACCAGCGACCCCCGTGACCCAAAATGGAATAAACGGGTAAAGAAAATGGATGGATGGATGGATTATCCTCATTTCATTAAGAGATGTTATAGATGCTATGAATGTCATACGAATATGAATGCTTAAAGAAAATTTTAACAGAGACCAGCTGTTCTGAAAAAAATAATAAACAAAATAAAAAAGGTAAAAAATGTCATTGTAACAACTGGAAATCAATGTTTTCCAATAAAGATGGTATAACGTGCTGAAATAAAGATGATCAATATGACAAACACATGGCAAAAAACAAAAATGTTTACTTTGCCTTGAAAAACAAATTTTTGGTATGTTTATAGATTTCTTTCATTTTTAGTCCATATATGATTGGATTACAAATAGGATTGTATGTTATTACTTGCAAAATCATTACAAAACGTGCAATCTTAGATATATCTGCATCCAGTCTAACTACAATTGTGTCAAAAGTAAGTAAAAAAAAATAGTTCATTAAAACCAGCAGGTGAGGTAAACAGGTCTGTGCAGCCTTTTTTCTGACTTCTCTGCAACTTCTATAAGATATTATAAGAATGACTGTATAAGTGAAAATTATAAAGAACATAGGAAGAAAACTAATATTGAAAAGAATAACTAATCCAAATATTAACAGTGCTCTTGAACTTACACAGAGAATGTAGTATACTACGTTGTTGCAAAAAATTCCTTTCAAAGTAAAACTGCAGAGTTTTTGATTTGCATTCCCTATGATTGGCACAGCAAGATGACAAAAAGGTATGAGCCACGCTGAGACAAGGAAAATGCACACAGTTGTTTTTCTCATAATTGTGTGATATTGCAGAGGTTTACATATAGACACGTATCTGTCAAAAGCCATGGCTGCTAACAGTAAGAATTCAGATCCACTCAGAGAGTAAAAAACAAAGATCTGGAATAGACATGCTGGATAAGAGATGGTCTGTTTTTCAGATAAAAAGTCAATCAGTAGTTTTGGATAGACTCCTGTGCTGACAAGAACAGAGTTAATTAACAAAGCAGCAATGAAAATGTACATGGGTTCATGGAGGTTTTGGTGAATCACAATAAGCCACAAAATGGTAGAATTACTGCAAATTATCAAAATATATACTATGAGCATGATAACAAAATAAAGAAATCTATATTTTTCCAACTCCACATGACCCTCGAAAGTAAAATGTGTTACATTCATTTCATTAATCAAAAAAAATTAAAGCCTTGAATGCAAAAAACAATGTTTTTAAAACAGCACACAATATTAAAACTTCACACAGTTTACAGATAACCACATTAGTTTGCGGTGCGATGTGTTTATCTTGAGAAAACTGTCAGACCAATCATTTGAATTGAATGTAAGCAATCTGTCTTCAATTAAATTTTGAAAAGCTTTCCTTATATAGAAAAATGCTTTTAAAAGCGGTATGCCAATTCAAACATGCACTGAGTTTAGAGATAACCACATTAGTTTGGTGTGTGGTGTGTTCATCTCTAGAAAACTGAATCAATCGAAGTGTTTAAATAGGATTTCTTCATTCTCTATGGCTTTCATTATCTATTCCATGTAGAGCTGTTGGCATGTCAACATTTTCATCCAACCTATAAATAATAAAAACTGATAGACAAAGTTGAAGGATTTCTTTTTTTTTCGTCTTTTGGCTGCTCCCTGAGCAAGCACAGTGGCAACAGTGGAAAGAAAAACTCCCTTTTAAAAGGAAGAAACCTCCAGCAGAACCAGCTCAGGACAAGAGACCATTTGCTTTGACCGGCTGGTTGAGAGGACAGGAAGGAGAGAGACGAACACAGAATGGTAGGTCCAGGTATAGGTCCAGGTCCAGGTATAGGTCCAGGTCCAGGTCCAGATATAGGTCCAGGTGTATCTGAAAGACAAAAAAAAAAAAAAACGATGTTAAGGATAGAAAAAATAATTACAAATACAAAACAGGTCGAGTAGAGTAAGTAAAGACAGTAGTAGAGTGAAAATTGTGGTCAGTTTGTCCTCCAGCAGTCTAAGCCTATAGCTGCATGACTAAGGGACAGCTCAGGAAACCCTGTTAGGAAAATATGGAACAATAATATCTGTAATATAAGATGGAGCCAGGTTGTTGAGAGCTTTGTAGGTTAGAAGTAAGATTTTGAATTCTATTCTGGACTTGACAGGGAGCCAATGGAGAGAAGACAAAACTGGAGAAATATGATCTCTCCCAGTAACTCCAGTTAAGACTCTGGCAGCAGCATT